GCCTTAATGACAGGTCAGCCCAAATCCACAGGGACTGCTGAGGCCTTCCCGTGGGCCCTTTGGGGCCGAAGACTACGATGCATCGCGGGGATAAGGACTTGCAGACTTCAGCACGCAAGATGGGCACATCCTTGCTTTTTCAGCTATCGGCTCACGAGCGAGAGCTAGATTTGGTATTTCTGGACCACAGTTACGCCAAACCTTGGAATGCCCATCCAGATGCCAGTAGCGCTCGGCCAACCAGGACGCTGTTTGTTACACCTCGCCGGCAGCCTGAAACCGTCTCGTAAGTTTAACAGATCTCAGTCTCCTCTGCAGTAGATGTTAAAAACACATCAAACAAACAAAGCTATTCTTTCATGCTTTAAGCATAGTCTTTACATCTCCTAATGATTTAATGTTTTTATTCATTTATTTTTCATTCCAGAGACTCTGATTCTCTATTAGATGTGGAAACAGTCACACCGACACCTGTTCCTCTATACGACAACCAGAAAGCTCTCAGTGTGATGAAGGAGTGTGAGCGACACGTTCTGTTTGCTCGAACAGTTGCTGAGAGCCCCCCGCCCCCCGATGACTGGGAGGAACACATCAATAAGTAACTAAACACATGGATCACTTGTTTGAGAAGATGCTCTTTTTTTAATTAATTGTGAATACGAGGAAGTAGTAACATAACCTATTTGTTCTGATATCATTTTTATGTTCTTTTTCAGGGTTGGATGGTCAGTGGCTCAGAACAAATTGTTCAACAAGGTCCTTAAAGCGCTACAGGCTGAACGATTAGCCCGTCTGGCCAATGAAAATGTAATGCATTCTATCACTTTTTCATTAATTTTTGCTTTGAATGGACACTTCATACTATTTACAACTGCAACTTCTTGCTTTGGTGCTTGAAAATACCTTATGAAGATTTATACACAATTCGTTGGGGCTCAAAGTGAAAGCACTGTTTGAAGTTTTTTTTTTAGTTTTTTTTCTTGTTTTTTCTTTTGGATGCATCCAACCAAAAATAAGAAAAAACAACTTTTACTCTTTTCCCTCTCTATCAGGCCTCCAATGAGCCTATCCTACGGAGGATAGCCGTGGACAAGTGTGCCAGGAAAGTGCGACATGCGCTGGCTAGTGTGAATTGGGACATCAAACTGACCCAGTGGCTACACACCACCATGATTGAGTCTTTAAGCCTGGCCATGCTTGCTGCTTACCTAGATGTGCTGCAGACTCTTAAAAGCAAGGTATTACAGATTATTACAAAGTTTGTTTTTTTGTTGTCAGATAACTGAACGTTAAAGATCTAAAATCCGTTCATTTGTGTCTGCGTAGCTGCCTTCATTAATCGACAGGATGTTGTTGCCATCTGCAAAGACTGGAGCTCCGAGTGCAGAGGCCTTGTCACTGCTGCTGAAACGCCCATGGGATCCAGCTGTCGGGGTTTTGTCTCAAAATAAACCGGTAAAAGCCTTTTAGTTCAATTACCAATGGAAAATCTGATCATGCATTCTGTACTTAGCTCTACAAAATCTATGACACCACCTATCTGTTCCTCTATCTTTCAGAGCAAACTTCCTGGCTCTCCGCTCATCCTTATTGCGCCATCAAGCCCGACTAATCCCACCCTCTCCACTTCACGACGAATGAGGTTCTGGCAGTCACAGCTCTCCTGCTTGGGAAAGGTCTGAAATCTCACACTGTATTAAATCTTTTTGTCTTCAAGATTTTTTTTGTTTCTGCTTTTTTTTGTATTTATACCTTCAGACAAAAGCCTATAACCACTGTTTCCACATCAGGTCATTCCAGTACACACTCATGTGAACAGCGGAGCCAATATTGGCATCACACAATGTTTGGAGCACATGCTGGGGACTGTTAGGGCCAAGGTCATGGAGGTAGGATGTTCTGTTAGGGCCTTGAGTCCCTTAAGTTATGTTGGTTGTGAAATCTATGTAGCTCAACATCAGTACATCAGATCAGTTGTCAAATGTGTATTTAAGCATTAATGTGTGATCATGCAAAGAAGCAATTTTCTTTCTCAAGTTTTTAAACAGTTCATTTTTACTTACTCTTAAGCTAAAACTGAAAGAGACAGCATACACTGCTGAATGATCCACATTACTTTCTATTTTTGCCACCTAATTGTTTATGCTTTGCTAATTTTCCCAACAGGTCCACAGTCATTTCCCTCACAAGCCAATTATCCTGGTGGGCTGGAGCGCTGGTGCTCTCATCGCCTGTCATGTGAGACTTTTAACACTTTTATGGCTCTTATAGTTTTCTACTGGGGGGCTGCTTGCATTGTGACTTATGAGTTTGTCAAAATCTTTTTAATTTTAGGTGTCCCTGATGGAGTATCTCACAGCTGTGGTGTGTCTTGGCTTCCCCCTGCTAACAGTTAATGGGCCAAGAGGGGTGAGGATTGCTCTCCTTCAATAGACTCTCATAGATATTCCAGGTTGTTAATGTTTTATTTTTAAAAAGAAATTTGCCGATGATTTTCAGGACGTGGACGACCCACTGCTGGACATGAAGACCCCCGTGCTGTTTGTGGTGGGGCAGAATGCCCTCCAGTGTAGCACAGAGGGAATGGAGGAGTTCAGAGAGAAGCTCCGAGCTGACAACAGCATGGTGGTCGTTGGAGGGGCAGACGACAACCTCAGGTTAGTTTCCACTTCAGGTTGATGCTAGTTATGCATCAGATTTTAGTTGTAACACAAAATGCCTTCACAGAATCAATTCGGGAAAGATGAAATCTGAAGGACTGACTCAGACGATGGTGGACCGCTGCATTCAGGTTGGTTCTAAGATCACCACATTATCAGTTGGTTGAAAAATTACAGAATTCATCTGCTTTTTTAAACATATATTTATATATTTAAAAAACCCTCCTTTACAGGACGAGATTGCTGACTTCCTCTCAGGTGTCCTTGCTCGAGCAGAGAGCCACAGTCATGGTTCGGGGGAGATGAGAGACTTGGACACAGAAAAGAAAAAGAGGCCTCGACGAGAGCTTCCCTTTGACATGGAAAAGGGGCGACCTTCCTCCCCGGCCCTGAGAGTTCCCATCTCACCATCAGGTTCTGAGGTCAGAAACCTCTTTGTCTTCCTCATATTCCCTTTCTGTAAGAATAATGATGATTTGATAATAATTTAACGATATTTCAGTATAGCTGGCCTTTTAAAAATGCTCATGAAGGATAGTATGTCTCTGCCTGATATTAACTGTTAATTCATTTTTTAAGTTTTTTAAGAATTTTAAAGGTTTGATGCTAACTGTTTTTATTTTTTTATTGTAATGTAGAGGACATCCCTGTTGTTGTCCTCTAAAGTATATGAAGTTCAACATATCAATAGTGTGGAAGTCTAATTGAAACGTGGTGTTCATGTAAACATACTCTGTTACAGCCATTTTCAAACACTTTCTGAAACAATGCTCTGTGCATATGTGCTGACTAACTAATGAAGCATAGCTGTTGTTCCTCATTGTCTTCTCAGGATCTGTCTAGTGTGTGTAGCAGTCCCACATCGAGCCCCAAACCCAAGACCTCTGGTCTGTCTCCAGCACAGAAATCCAGTCTAATCACAGCCACACAGCTCCTCAAGACTCACATGCAACGCTCGGGCACCGTGCTCACTCACAAGCAGGCTCAAGGTTAGTTAAACGGCTTGCTCAACTCGGGCTGCGCTGTTACAGCTACAGTGATTCCCCACATGTGCCCCCATTTGTTTGTTTAAGCTTGTCACAATGAGTCATTTACCTCAACTTATGCTGAATTTGCCAAAGCGTAGCAGACGCGGCGGCATGCGAGATGTGAAAATGATTGTGCATCTTTTCTGAAAAGAGATGATCCCGTCACGGCATCTGACCGCGTTTTGAGGTGGAACGTGACTGAAATACTCTCCTCTCATCCTCTTGTCTCTTCTCCTTCTTCTACGTCTTTCCTTTCTGGCTTTTTTTCCGATTCATTCCAGCTCAGTTTGCTGCTTTTATGAAACAAAACATGCTTGTGAGGAAAAATCTTCCTCCTGGCACCCCTCCTTGTATTTTTGGTAAGTGTCTATCCCTCTTTCTTTCTTTCCTTCCTCTGTCTCTTTCTCTCTCATGTCTTTGTTTCCGCTGCTTTCATTTCTTGACAATCTTGCGTATAAACTTCCCGTCCTTCACTAAAATGCCCTCTGCTGTGCCTAAAGGTTACTTTAAGGTTATTTTGGAGACCATAAAAACCTTGGTCCAAATATTGCTCACAGTTTGAACGCAGATCACAGTTACCTTTATCAATAGGTGTGTATGTGTGTGTGTGTGTTTGTCCATGTGGTGTAGTGCCAGTGACCAGTGATCAGATGGAAGGCCTGGACAGAGATGAGTTACGGTCTCATGGCAAGAGGAGACAGACACCCAGTCCAACACCAAGTAAAGCTTCCAAAAGGGCAAAGATTAAGGTCACCATTGTGTCCCAGAGCGAGTCAACAGGAGCTTCCATCAGCCCTGCAGAAGGTACAAAACCTTGCCATCTAATAAGCCGACGCACTAAAAGGTAGAGGTCCAAGTTAGGAAGGCTGATGTCGCAGCCTCATCCATTCTGAAGCTTCTACCGAGAGCACAGAAATCTCTGGATTTGATGGTTCTAAAAATGAAGTGATTTCTGCTTGCAGACAGCAGCCTCCTCACACTGTGTTGAAGAGGCTTACTTACATCAAAATTGCTTTAATATTTCAAACTAAGTATTAGAAAAGAGAATCTTTACTGTGCCTGGAAAATGAAAAGCTTTCAGACAGAAACAAAATAACCCACAGAAGCTGGAGTCCCTATAGTGTGTGTGTATGTGGGTGTGTGTATACCACTTTTAGACTAAACAATGGAAATACAATCTCAGCGAAAATCCTCAAAATGATTCTGTTTTGGAGTTGGGTTTCAACCTGTCCATCATATAATTTTTATTATTTTTTATAATAATTTAATAATGAATAATTTTATAATTATTTATAAGTTTGAATAAAACCAGATAACTATTTTTTCCTTCCACACTGGCTTTGATAATCTCTTTTGTTTGAGTATATTTAAACAAAAGATTGAACATTTTATGAATACGTACAATGTTATATTATTTCCTTTGCTTAAAGGTACATGGTGTAGGAATTTCTCCCATCTAACGGTGAAATTGTATTTTGCATTCTAACAAATCGTGCTCTCCAGGGCCTCACGTTTTCATATGGGTATTGCAACTACGGTAGCCGTCATGCATGAAGAAGTAATGACAACATGACTTCCACATCATCCATTTTTTTCTCAGGTGGTGAGGTTTGTAATGTAAAAGAAATTACAAACTGTATGGAATCATTAGGGTGAGCATGTAATTACTCCTCAAACAAGATCGCAAAGTTTCAGCCACGTGATTCTGGCTCTGAACGACGTGGATTAGCTAGACGGGTAGAAGTGCTTTATGTCCCTCTCTGTGATTATACTTTTTCAGAATGGCCGAACGACATGGAAACCTCCGTATATACAGATAGGAAATGAGGATACATTTAAAAATGAAGAATAAAATACTTAAAATACTACACAATGTCCCTTTAAATTAAGTGGGAAATTGCCATAGACATTTAACATTAAGGTGTTTTTGTACATGTTCATGCTATGTTTATATGATTAATTTGCTGTCTACTATTGTGGTACAGTTCAGTGGAAAATTCAGTTACAATTGCAATCAGATGTACTTTTTCATAAAGGATGAGATGGCGGTCATATGTTTATTACACTCACATTCCCGCCTTAGCTGCAGGAACAGAGCAGCAGAACTTGGTAACCTTTAAAAGGAGTTGGAGTTGGCTCTCTTTTCTTCTCCTCTGCTGTTAGGCGAAAGTTACCATGGTAACTGTAAAGCGAGAAGTGATTGATTGACACCCGTTCAACTTTTCCTTGCCCTCTGTATTTGCCACCCAGGCGCTGATGGCTCTGGCAGAGTGCAGAGATTTTTACAGCTTTTTTCAAATGTATTGTCTCAATTCATTGCTTTGACAGCACAGCAACAGTTTCATTAAACACGAGAAAAAGTTCATTTTTGTTCAATTTACCAAGTTCTGTTGGTGAGAGGTTTTTGGCTCCAGATTGATGTAGCTGAGCGGTGCCAACACCGCCCCCTTCCACACTGACACGCTCCTGACAGAGAGCGTCTGCAGCTCCCACTTAGCAGGATTGTGGCTGCTGAGGATTGTCAAGCAAAAACATGGAAAATATCACTTTCATCAGTCCAACTGTAAACAACTTGTTTCAAGTGTTATTTGAAGTCACTCATCCTTCAGTTGAAACACTGCCGACTTCTGGGCTTTTGTTTGTAGAAAGCTAGTCCTGATAGATGGACAGGTTACATAATCTCTGGGTGTTTTTGTTTGCCTTTGGTAGCATTCAGCCAGTTGCAACATTTTCCCCTTATCAATCCGAGCTATGATACTGTTATCGCTGAGCTCTGACTTACTGAATTCTCTGTTCCTCACACATCTGCTGTATGATTCTTCCACACACTACACTAATTGCTCATCACATGATAAGAGTAGATGGAAAATTTGTTTGTGGATTGATGAAATCACAGCCAGGCAGACCGGAGTTTTAATCATAATTCACATCTCCATTGGGGAGACTTTTAGCTTGGTATGTGTAGCTGAAACAGTGAAAATTAGACTAATTGCTCAGACTGCCTCACCGCGTTGCCTTACAATGCAAGTCCAGCCATCTGCGTTTCTATTTACCTGTAGTTTGAAATTGCTCACTGTATCATGCTCTTTTTCATACAGTTGGTGTCTCAGGGAAACCTTTAACTGTGGCAGTGGGTCAGACTGTGGCGGGTGCCAAGGAGCTGTCTGGACTCCTTACAGGCCAACGGTAAGCTTTCCAACCCTGCTGCACACAGGCTCAGTGAGAACTATAGATCGCACAGGACCTTATACAAACCCACATCCACACGCACACTGATTGACAACAATGTGTCCGGTGCAGACGGATTTATGAGGGGCGGTACTCGGAGTTGGGGCGCCACGTGATGGCCAAACAGCACTTGCTGGGGTAGCTCCTGAGTGGACTGGTGGTATTGTGTGTCGCTGCAGGTGTGCTAGCCTGTCAGAGGTGTCTGGTGCCCTGTCCCCAGGCTCCAGCTCATTCAACAGCGCGCAGCCTTGCATGGTGTCAGGGTCCTCCACACCAGCCCAGGTGCAAGCTCCAGCTGCTGCCCAAGGTATCTCTGTCTTGTCCTGCTTTGCAAGCTCTTTGTGCTTCAAACGGTGCTCATCGTCTCAGCACAATAGCTTCGACACACAAGCGGCCCTGTTGGCCTTATCAAGATGAGATTCAGCTTCTGAACTCTGAAATAGGACAGTGTGTGAGGACAAAACATTTTCCGTAAACATCGTCATTGAGCACCTCTTGCGCCACTGCTGCCTGTCACCAATCCAGACCTTACCCCTTTGAACCTGACTCGTGTTGTGTTTGTGGGGTCCACAAGTACAAGTTCAGTTGTTTTTTTCTTGTTTAAGGCTAAAGTTTTCTCCACAATAATTTCACCAAATTTCACCTTCATTTATTTGCGAGTGTTTTGTTTTTTGTTTTTTTTTATGCAGCGCCTTCCGCCAGCAGTCTTCTACAAGGCCTAAGTTTCAGTCTTCAGGAGATCGTCACCAAAGCTTCTAACTTGTCCTCCGCAGCAGCCAACACAGGCAGCACGCAGGTACTGAGGCTCTCATTATGTTGGACACACAGAATGATTCAAGTGTGCACTCCTTTCTCAAAAGTGTCTTCAGTGACTTTCCTAGCTGGTAAAGCACACCATGGAAAACCAGCAATATGAGGCTGTATTTAATGTGTATGGTACTGTTCCATACAGCTACCAGCTCTGCACACTAACATCAAGAAGCACATTAAAAACACTTAGCTGTCTGATTTGGTTTGCCATTAATGGCAACATTTATCTTTTGTACTGATCAGATGACTGACTGTGTTCAGCAGGATAGGGGAGTTAACACTCTAAACTTTGAGGTAAAGGTTGCCTGATGGGCATGAAAGGGCAAATTCATCCAGCTTGCTCTTTTTTCCCCCCTTCTCCTCCGCTCTCAGGTGGTTTGCACTAAGTCCCAGGGTCCGGTCCTGAGCTCCGGTGGTGCCAGCAGCAGCACTCTGCTCCGGGCCGTGCCTGTGGTCACCACAGGAGGCGTGGCTAAAACCACAGCCATCCATCAGCTGCTCACCAACGGTGGGCTGGCCAAACTGGCGAGCAGTCTGCCTGGCTTGGCGCACATCACCAATCAGACCACTGGTATGTGTCGAACTGCCAAAACACGCCGGCCACGGTGAATGCCCAGGGTTCGTTCATCCTTTGTTTTGGAAACAGTCATTCAGGACACTTGTAGGCCAGGCAGGACTCCTGCTTTAAAGGAAGAATGTGACTGATGGCAGATCAGCCACTTCATGGCATCTGGGGGCAGATGAGCGGCACTCCTGGTGTTTTTGTGTTCATGAAGGGCCACCTTAGAAACATAAAGTCACCATTTTAAATTCTCATCATAGTTGGAGACATATCTATCCATTTTTATTCAAGAGAATTGTTAATTAAGTTATAACATGTTTGAAATGAAATCTGGTGAGAGAGACCCAGATGTTCAATCCTGCCTGCTTTCTGTCAGATGTTTGTTTTGACTGTCATTATGTTGTTGGTTTGTTTCTTTGTTTGTTTGTTTGTTTACCTTTTCATCTTGTAACGCGCTATAAGCCCCTCCACTCAATCACCAGCTAATAATATCCATGAATAGGACTGCAGACCTCCTGGAGACTTGTGTTGGAAAACAGTAACCTTGACACATGGCATTATCCTGTTGTTACAATAAAGACTGGAATTTAAACTCACGTTTTCATTGTTTTTGTGTTTTATTTGTTTTGTTTTTTCCCTCTTATTTTTTGTCCCCCCGCCCACATTCCTTATGTTCACTTCCTTTTAGTGTGAATTGAATTTCTGGATTTCCATGACTTCCCTCAGCGTCCAGATATTCAAATTCACCATGAGGCAGACAGACTGTGACCTCAATCACAAGCTCAAATCTGTTTTAGTGTATTTTGACAGCGAGTGTGTCCAGCTTGTTATAGTTCAGCATTTCTGTGTGTTGTCAGGAGGGCAGAAAGCCCCAACTTCTATAACAGTGACGCTACGAGGAGCACAGCCGAGTAGAGCGGGATCTCTCAGCCAAGCTGGGGAGACTGTGGCGCCAGCTCTCACACACGAGCCCAAGGTGTGTCACTTTAGCCTGCTATAGACACATTTTACTTGGAGCTTTTCTTTCATTACCTCTTATTCTATCTCTTCTGAAGACTTTTAAGTACTTAGTTTATGTTTTAAGGTTTAGCATTTTTGCAAATAAGCTAAATCTTATTAGTCATTCTCCATATTTTATTTAACTTTAAGTTATACCTGGGAATTCCCTAAAATCTATGTGTAAACATGAGGTTTTAGTGGCTCCTTTAGCGAAGTGTTCCGTCGGTGAAGCGAAACACAAGGCCTCACTCAGTTTTAGGTAAAGACTGGAAATGAATGGTTTTATTATTTAATTCATTTCACTGTGCCCTTTTACAGCAATGAAAGGCTTTGGCTCTCTTTCCATGTGCGGATGCACCTGACGTAAGATGGTGCCGTGCAAGAGCAATCATGGAGCGACTGCCAGCAGAAGAGACCCCCCCCACCCCCCCCCCCCCACACACACACACACCCCAACCCCAGTAGGGATGGACAGTTCCACATGCATAGAGGCTGCACCCTCCAGGGGGCTCCCTTGTAAAGAAAAAAATTATTGAGTGCGCAAAAAGAAGTTATTTTTACAGACCATAGGAAAGCAGCTCTGGCAGATCATGCAACATCTGGAACTCAATGTAAAGCTAAATCACAGCTAAAGGGAACAAACACTGTCTGAATATTCATCATAATTTTTTATAGGCCTACATTAGTGACGTAAACGGGAGTCTTACTAGCTTGTGTGTGGAGTCATTAATGAATACGTTCTTCAGATTTCTACATTTTTGTTAGATTAATGGTTTTAATACCATTTACAGCATTCGCATCAATGCAATAGGCTGATATAATTCTCTTTATGTGTGAATCTGTGTGCACACAGGCAGTTTCCATTGCGAGTTTGCTCATACGTCTGAAGCCACAGCACCTGTGAACCATGCTGTCATGAGATTTAAAGACCGGAGGCACTCTGTGGTCAACAGAACTGACCAAGCTGCACTCTGCTGTTGTTTATATTGTAGATGGGGTTTTTTGTCTAAAGTAAACTGATTTGCCTGTAGAACTTTGCTTTGCTTTACTTTACTCATCCAAACATTTGTTCCTGTGTGTCCGACACTCACAGCAAGCTGAGAAACTCCCTCAAAAGGCTTGTCGGGAAGCTTACTCGTGGAAGATACTTGCATGGCTGTGTTTACAGTGGCAGCATAAATACAGCCCACTCGCTGCCGAAGACTTCCCGTCTTAAATTCCATGGAGCAGATAAGAGTGTGTCTCTTCCTTCTTATATAAGTCTCTCGATGTAATAGACGGGCAGGATAAGTGATGTCCGCTGGCCAGAGAGCACAAGAGCTGCTGGCATTTCCTCCCATCACCAGCACCAGTGGATTCTAAACACATCAGGTTTTTATTGTTGGCGGAAGTTTGACTGATGCGTGCCGTCTAGAGACAAATGAATATGACCTCAGAAAGAAGAAAGTTAGAAGAAACTCAGTTCAGAAGTGTATTGGGCCTGAGTATGGGAAAATGCTTTTATCTCTATGTTACTGTCACGGAACAAACAAGGCCTTCGTGGCCTATATTTGTGGAAGTGCAGATATCTAATTTATGATTGCCATTGCAGGAAAGATCACCAATTAGTCCCTAATGAACAACTGGAGTCAATTATTTATAATGCATCAGTGATAAGTAATTTAAAACAAATGGTAAGATTTTTCATATTCACAATCACCTCCATACAAATCAGTAGAGTCCTGTTGATAGAATTTACAACTAGAAACATTAAAGAGGGAACATTTCTGGGCGGGACCATAAAAACAAATACTAACATTAATAGATTTTACTGAAGGAAACACATTTCAAAAGAAAAAGATGTCAAATTCCAAACAAAAAAAATATTTTTTACAGCTGAAAATCTCACTCGTGTCCCCATGAGGCCTATCCACCTTGTTTTTGTTTTTTTAAACAACTCATCTGGAATTGTGTAATCACATGCCCGATAAACCAAACAAACTCCGGGGTCACTTAGATCTAAAAGAATCCATAAACAGATCAGATCTGCTGTTTATCCGCCAGGTTCTGGTGGTGTAATTCCCCACCAGCACCGATAGGTGGCGCGCAAACGGCGCCGCTTTTCTCGTCGCTCTTAAATAAAAAACCTGGAAGGTCAGGCCGTCTGCGCGCGTGCGTGTGGCGGCACGAGAGGCCGGCCGGCCAGGTCCACAGAGGACGCCGCACGCGCGCGCGCGTGCTCGCGAAGGAAGAGTCGCCGTGCACTGAAGAGAGCGGATGTTGTTTGGCGTCAACTTCGCTTAAAGTGTTCAAACGGAACCAACGAGTCGTGTCAGTGCTGCTTTTAGTCTCAAGCACTTTTATTAACGATATTGGACCCAAAGCCAAAGGGTTTTTGTTTGTTTTTTTTTACCACAAAAGAGGCTTTTGCTCCGCGTCCATGACACAATGGCTTTACTTAAGCTGTTTTTTATTCAAAGCTGGCGTGTGAACACAAACAGAGGTTGGTGCGGGCTGCGGAGGGGAACTTTCATGACAATATAAAATATTAATTCAAGTGATAAATACTAATTCCCGCCCTTTCGTGGGGCAGCGGATAGGCTCGCGGGCAGCAGCATTCGCTGCCGCCTCGGTGGAGCTGCCATATCATCAAAGTTTCCCGGCCAGTGACCTACTCCGGAGCTCCAGCTGGAGGAGAGAAATCACTGCCCCCAGAGCCAGGAAGACACCGGAGGGAGGCTGGATTTAAAACCCGCCCTCCACCGGGTTCGCGTTCCCCCCTTAAAAAAAAAAAAAAAAAGAAAAGAAAGAAAGAAAACCTCCCATTTTTTCTGCCTCACTGTTTCTCTTTCTCTCTCACTCTTCTCTCTCTCTGTCTTTCCCTCTGTCCCTCTCTCTTCCTTTTACCTTTATCCCTCGCCTTTCGCCGTCTCCCCCCCCACTCCAAACATGGATCTCTCGGCGAGGTGTTCGCTTCTTCTATCATGTCTCGGCGTGATATTGGCGATCGATCTGGAGGCAATTGATCCGGGCTACTACGTGGAGCCCGCTGCCACATCAGAGGCAATCGACTACAAGGATCCCTGCAAAGCTGGTGAGATTTCTACACCCCCCCCCCCTCCCCAAACACACACACACACAACCCCCCCCTCTTGTTTTTGTAGTACGCGGTGCGATTTGGCTCATTTTTTTTAAGCGGACGCAAACGTGCCACGAATCCGCGCGGATCTCGCTCAGAGAGGCTTCTGCGAGACGTGACAGCGCTGGATGTAGTTTCCCCAAAAAAGGCTCGAGAGAACACTGTGTGCGATTGTTTTATAAGTGACATAGTTTTCTAGCAGTTTGAAACACTGGGAGCGCGTGCAGGATCCCTGCAGGATGAGAAGGCACCAGATGAGAAAGCCTCGCGTGTGCATTTCTGGGGACACGAAAAGTTTTGCTTTCAAGAAGTTTTTGCCTGTTTACATTTGTTTCCCCCCCCCAAAAAAAAATGTTGCTCCCGCTGGGTGCTGTGTGTGTTATATTTAAAAAAAAAAACGAGCTATTGGAAAAGTTTTTTTCTTTAAAATCCTGCTGTTTATTTTGTGACTTTTCCTCCCTCTCCTTTTTTTGTTACTGCACAAATAGTGTCTTTTTCCCCACCGGCTGCTCACAGGGCCACTAAAACAAAGTGGAGGAGGGGAAAGGAGAGAGTACAGTGGGGCTGAGAAATTATGCAGGTATAATTGTGTTGACTGATGTGGGTTAGATTTAGAAACGTCTGTTTCTTTTCCCCTGTGGTGAAACCTGCATATTTCCCCGTTATTTGGCCCGAAGGCTGTGTGCGTTGTCATTGTAAGCTTTAATCTGAACTCGCTGTCTTGCCAAATCCCTTTTTAGGGGGGGGGGGGTTTGAACAGATTGCATTTTCCATCTGGTAAAAGTATTCAGGTTACAGATATGTGGAGCTGGCTACAGTTAGAATGACCTCTGAAGTCCTGGAAGTGCTTCCCAGTTGGGAATTTGACATTTTTGCTGATGCGTCAGCCTATCGCAGAACACAGCTCGCTCCTCTCCACTCCGCTTCCAGACTGCCTCTCCTCAGCTTTCCCAGCCACTGCTGAAGGCGCAAAGCTTCAGGACGTCACAGGGGTCAGACTTTCACAAGAGCACACTCTCAAGTCGGTGGACGAGTCATTGACCAGTGGTTTCCTGTTATTGCCTCCCTGTTTATGTTGACCGGCTGATTCGGTGCCAGCAGACCTCTGCACAAGTCTTGTGAGGGATTCTCTGCTACGGTTTTCCAGGAGTGGTTGGCGTTCCGGTGCAGTGGCCCAGCGGGGACTGCCCCCTTTAATGACCAGCAGACATGACCGGTGTTTATCTCGGCCAGGATGTTTTCGTTATTAGAGATTTAAGTTGTGGGAGCTGCCGTTTCGGCTGACTTTTGGTCTCCTGTAGCACATCTGCAGACAGGTGGTTTAGAACAAATTAAAACCCCACCGCCCTTGTTCCCACGCTCACCTGCTTTTCCCCTTCTTACCGAGAAGCAAAGCGTCCACCATGGGGAGGCCATCCTTTTCACTGGAGTCACCTTCAGATCAGTGTGTGTGTGTGTGTGTGTGTGTGTGTGTGTGTGTGTGTGTGTGTGTGTGTGTGTGTGCAGGGGCCGACGTGCTGTTGATGACTCTTGAATTATTGATTTTTTTTTTCTTTGCCCGCATCTTTTCCCCCTCATTTGTCAGGCATATCAGTGCACGGAGTCTATTTGATCGCTTTCTGTGGGTAGAGGTCAGCATTTATGTGTCCTGCTACGTCCAACCAGGATAGCACGTCCAGCCCTGTGAAGCCCAATGCAGTCAGGCTCTCTGCTCCCACGAGACGACAAGCTTTGGCTCTTTCGTTCAGCTACCTCGTATTATCCTTAGTACACCATTTCAATTCCAATTGTATAAATATTCCCAAGATTATAAAAGGATCTTTGCATTTAGCTAGATAAAGGTCAATCGTTGGTCTCTCCGCCTCATGTGATAAAGATGCTCATGGGTGGAGGCGAGCGGCACGATAAGACTGGATTAATTCAAACTATTTAGGACTTCACCAGTGGAAAATTCCTCAGTTTGCACAACCCCAAACTTGGCAGCGTCCCAGGAAGCCATTTAAGAGTCTAAAAAGCCTCTGAGATTAAAGCCACTCATTTTCACAATAAAAAATGGATGAGAACCAGCCCCGCTCATTGTCTTCTCTGCTCAAACAGTAATCACCAGCGTTGTCACGGGTCTTGCCTGTGCCTTCAGTGGAGGCCCAGACATCAGAATCTACTTAAGCCTCCCGTGCTGGCGTGGGCAGGCGTCTGAGCGCCTGTGGCCGCCGCAGACGGGTCGACCCCGGAGCCCCTCAGTCCTCTCTTACTCAACCCAGCCTCCACTTGAGCCCCCCCTGCCTTTTTTTTTTTCCGCTGACAGGTTCAAACACCACACACAGACT